GATAGACAATTTGCTTGATGTAAATCTTAAAGATTTGGTTATTGGTTGCAAAAATTGAGCGATTTGATATTGATTCTAACATGCAGTGGAAAAACACGCGGAGTTTTGTTAGGGCTTTGTTAGGAACCCTTAACCCGTTTCCTGTCGCCTCCAGAAACGATGCTGATTAAACGTTGCAAATAGCGACTAAACATCGATTTGTCCGCTGTCGTTGAAACAAATCCGCGGCGCTCAGGGCGTTTGCGAAATTTTGAAAAATTTTGAAAAACCGCCGCGTTTTCCGAATGGAATCCGCCACAAAAACATGTTTATTCGGTAATCGGTGGATGTCATCGCGTGGTTGACATGAGTTGTTGGCTTTTGAATCAGGCTTATTTGTAGCCATCAAAATCGCGTGCATATTTACACAAGATGTACGAAAATAATGCGGTCCGACTGGTCCAAACGCCCGAATCTCCACTCGAAAATAGACGCATTACTCATGCTTATTGGGTAGATGGTGAAAAAGCGAGGAAACCCACTGGTTTAGGCGCAAGTTCGCTACCGTATTAATCAACCATTCAGCTATAAGACTAACGTCAATTGTTTTATCGCCTGCGAGGGGTTTGAGCCCTTTGGGATGAAAGGCGCCCTTAATCCGGGCGGCGGTGAAAAGTTAAGAACGACAGTTTTTGCGATTTCCCAACACGAACTAGTTTAAGAGCAATTTAGATATCGGGAAAACTGGCCCTCGTTTTCTCCTATTTTTCCAACTGTCCAAGAAAACTGTACGCGCTTGATTAAATACCACAATCATTGTATCCGTTGGCATTAATGAAAGCGTTCATCGGTTGATGGCCTGGCAAAAATGCAAATAAATCAAACATCATCGCAGCCATAATTACGACTAATTGGATTTTTCGTATTGCGGTCTGGTTGGCAAACGACAACTTCGGATCGGGCCAAGTGGCCCCATATTTCTTGGTCTATTGCCTCTGAACTGGGACCGGTTGCGACAATGTATCTATCGTCTGCAAATCGGTCGGTTTTGCAATGCACGCACAGTAATAACAGCCATATTATTAACGTCCGCACATAAATTCGATTTTAACTTGACAATCGGCGTACATTTGTAATCTATTAAGTGGAAAAAGTAACGCTTTCCACGTTTTTCTTCGCGTTAATGAAGTGGCGGGATTTTGTCTGCTGCGTTCGCAAATTATGGTTAAAGWTTAAAAAATTTTGAAAATTTCGTTATTGGTTGCAAAAATTGGGCGATTTGATATTGATTCTAACATGCAGTGGAAAAACACGCCGAGTTTCGTTAGGGCGTTGCCCTCTAAAGGGGCCCTCAAAGTTTCTAAAGCTGAATATTTCCGAAACCGTTGCAAATTGCTCAGTAGTCGTCCAGGCATCTACCGATAGAACGACACCTGGACTAGCTTTTCCGATTTGGTTTTTATCAGAAATTCCTAACCTTTAAAGAGTTAGGAGCAAAAAGTTGCCTGTTGAAGTTCAAGTGCTGATCACTCAGAAACTCAGAAGCCGTTCATAATCTCGGCATAATCATGAGAATTTTTCGATAGACAATTTGCTTGATGTAAGTCTTGAAGATTTCGTTATTGGTTGCAAATGGGCGATTTGATATTGATTCTAACATGCAGTGGAAAAACACGGGGAGTTTTGTTAGGGCTTTGCCCTCTAAAGGGGCCCTCAAAGTTTCTAAAGCTGAATATTTCCGAAACGGTTGCAAATTGCTCAGTAGTCGTCCAGGCATTTTCGATAGAACTACACCTGGACTCGCTTTTCCCATTTGGTTTTTATCAGAAATTCCTAACCTTTAAAGAGTTACGAGCAAAAAGTTGCCTGTTGAAGTTCAAGTGCTGATCACTCAGAATCTCAGAAGCTGTTCATAATCTCGGCATAATCATGAGAACTTTTTCGATAGACAATTTGCTTGATGTGAGTCTTGAAGATTTCGTTATTGCTTGCAAAAATTGGGCGATTTGATATTGATTCTAACATGCCGTGGAAAAACATGCGGACTTTTGTTAGGGCTTTGCCCTCTAAAGGGGCCCTCAAAGTTTCTAAAGCTGAATATTTCCGAAACGGTTGCAAATTGCTCAGTAGTCGTCCAGGCATTTTCGATAGAACTACACCTGGACTCGCTTTTCCCATTTGGTTTTTATCAGAAATTCCTAACCTTTAAAGAGTTACGAGCAAAAAGTTGCCTGTTGAAGTTCAAGTGCTGATCACTCAGAATCTCAGAAGCTGTTCATAATCTCGGCATAATCATGAGAACTTTTTCGATAGACAATTTGCTTGATGTGAGTCTTGAAGATTTCGTTATTGCTTGCAAAAATTGGACGATTTGACATTGATTCTAACATGCAGTGGAAAAACAAGCGGAGTTTTGTTAGGGCTTTGCCCTCTAAAGGGGCCCTCAAAGTTTCTAAAGCTGAATATTTCCGAAACCGTTGCAAATTGCTCAGTAGTCGTCCAGGCATTTTCGATAGAACGACACACGGACTCGCTCTTCCGATTTGGTTTTTATCAGAAATTCCTAACCTTTAAAGTGTTAGGAGCAAAAAGCTGCCTGTTGAAGTTCAAGTGCTGATCACTCAGAATCTCAGAAGCTGTTCATAATCTCGGCATAATCATGAGAACTTTTTCGATACACAATTTCCAAAACTTCGATTTTTCGGGTTTTATAATGAAATTCTAACCTTTGAGGAGTTAGAAGCAAAAATACGGAAATTTATCTGACCGCCGAAGTTCAAACTCTGATATCTCAGAAACGGTTGCGAAAATCAGAGTGATCTTTAGCACCTTTTCACTGGAGAATTTTCAGTGTTGAGTTTCACTCCTAGGGTTTTATGAAGAAATTCTAACCTATAAGGAGTTAGAAGCAAAAATACGGAAATTTATCTGACCGCCGAAGTTCAAACGCTGCTATCTCAGAAATAGTCGAGAAAATCAGAGCGATCTTTAGAACCTTTTCGCGAGAGAATTTTCAGAGCTGTGTTTCACTCCTTGTGGTTCGTCAATAAATTCCAACCTTTAAGGAATTGGAAGCAAAATGCGGAAATTCAGTCATCATTATTATCCAATTTATCAAATCGTTGACGTTCAAACTCTAATGTCTCAGAAACGGTTAACAATAGCAGAATAATCATTAGAACCCCTTCGATAGAGCATCTTCAGAGCTCCATTTGCTTCCTTGATTTTTTGCAAAATTCCTAACCTCAAAGAAGTTAGATGCAAAAAAGTGAATATATAGCTCAGGCTCTTTCATATTCAGTGCCCGATTCTTGCACGGACGCCTGTGAGTTTTCCGCAGTGGATTGGCAGGATTTTGTTGTTGACAATCGGGAACGTAGCCTATGAAATTCGAATATCAAACAACATTCGTTAATCGGGCGCGACCATTAATAAGAGGCAGATGACGACTAATGGCGCGAAAATAAATGTTTTGGTCGCCGTGTGTACGTTTTGGGAGAGTTCAGTGTAGTTTACTGACACAGTTTCGGGAACAGAAAAGGGAGTCATCGAGTTGTGTGGTAAACACACACACACACACACGGTAGCGGAGCGCACGTTTTCCGAAATGCAGAAATAGCGTTATTAATCGTTATTCGGGCCAGGATGGCGTAACCGCGGTTTGGAACGTGGACGTTTGTGACTCACTTTGATCCGAAACAATCCAGATATTTCCCAGCGGCTGCTGGATTTTTTCGTTTGGTTGACAAGATCAGAATGAATCCCGCGTCACTTCCACTCAGTATTTTTATCCGATTTTCGGGTCAACAGACCCCGAATGTTCTGGAGGCGCGTGCCAGGAAACGTTCTGGATTTGGAGAAAAAACGTTCGCCTACATTCAAAACCGGTCATTCTGCCCTCTCGTTCTGAGCGAATTATCCAATCTGGATGCAATGGACTGTCGCGAAAGTGATGTTGTGGCAATTTAAAAATACCCGGGGGCAGAAAGATCAGAAAATCGGGCGCGGCCTAATCGATAGTGGCAGGAATAATCGAAGGCCGGCTAATTTTGGGCGCTCGGTTGAGTCAAGTTCAAAGGAAACAGACATCCAGAGCCTGATAAAGCTCAGCAGGAAAGGTCAGGGATTCCATGGCAAAATAACTGGGTGATAAACAAACTGAAGAATCCGCGATATTTTTTTGATCTTGAGCCCGATTGGATGCGAGCATTTTTTTGCAGCGTCTGGGGGCCCATTGAACCTCAACTGCCACTGAATAATGAAAAAATGTCATTGATTTTACACCTGTACATAATGCAGGCGCCTGTAGTAAGTAATGCACACGAGCCGAGCGCAAATATCAAGGACAGCACAGGAAAAAAAATAACCGGTTGCATAAGCCGCGGCAGGACGTGTCCAAGCCGTCCTGCATGCCGCAAACAACACTATGCGATTCCATGTCGGAAAATATTAACTCAGGATTGTGATTTGGCAATGGACCTGACTCTCATTTGCGATCGGAATAACGCACCTCTTCACCACGCGAAAGATTTTGCAATCGACCATGTGGATGAATTGGGGACGATGTGATTAACGCGTCCCGACATAAATCGGGTCTTCACTTGACTTGTAGCCCATTAAGTGGGAGAAGAGTAATACTTTCCACATTTTGCATTAGCTGGCTGCGTTCGCAAATTGGCAGTAAAATGCCCCTTTCAGCTCGCGTTCTGGTTGTTCATCAGTTAATTAACGCTCGAAAGCCCTCAATCACGGTTGTGTGCTGACATCGTCCACTCGGAGCAAAGGAATTATTGATAAGACGTGAAAATTAAAAGTTAGAACGTCGATGGGGGTTCACGTTCGCCCACGATGGTGGACGGTCGCAGTGTCTGAAGCGCCCCTTAAAGTTAGAATGTCGATGGGATTTCGCCGGCAGCAACTATCGATGTGCTGACCAAAGGACAGAAAACGCATCTGATGCTGCCCATGTCCCAAGCTTTTTGACGCAATAACTGACGTTCTTTTTCTATTGCTTGTCCACAGAGCGAGATCAAGCAATGCTAACGACAAATGTTTAGTTTATAACAATGTTCATACAACAAACAGAACATCGATGAATGTTGACGCTGACCTCCCATCGACTTTCTAACTTTGAGACGCGGTTTGCATAAATCCCAGGTTGGATTTTACCCGAATTATTATGAAATCTTTGCCATGTTGCTGTGGTTGATCGTAATTAAAACGGCTGGTTTGCCGACGACATTAGAGGAAGCTGTTCAGTATCGATTTGCTGCCGATCTAATTGTGATTTACCGTGCAGTTATTTGACTCCACGGTTTCATTAACGCCGCCTAAGTAGACGCGGTGTTTACCTGGATTCAAATACGAATTTACCTGGCGGTAATTTGGATTCTATTTTAAATTTCCGCCCCGGTTCCCGGATATTACTAGCGAAATCAGCCGCGCTATGGCTTCATTAACGGCAACATTCTTTCCTTCAAGGAGAAAGAAATGCAAAATAAACTGGGGCAATAATGGCGATTTCATTCAAAATGCTTTTGCTGTTGGCACGTGTTAACGACCAGGCAAAGACCGCCCATCATCTGCCACCATTGCACCGGCAAATTTATCGACGATTGGATTACTTGCATCCCAGCAATAATAACACGCTTGGCTTATGCCCAGCAGCATGTAAACTCGCATTGAAGAATGCTGACCAACACGCACACGCTATTTCCGGAATGTGTGCACTCGAAAAAAACAACTCGGTATTGTTGAAGGGGACTTTTTGAACCTGCCCGGTAAATCAAGGGCGTGCCAGCGCCAGGCCCTATTGGCGCAGACGGCCCGTCGTCATAGAAACCGTTCGCGTACCAGGTGGGAGCAATTAATATAAAGCAACGCCGGCTTTTCACCTGTTGCGAAAAATGATGAATAAGGCTCGTAGTAGCCGGCAAGTTCAACATCGTCTGCTGGTAAACAACATTCGTTTAATCGCTTATGACCGAAATATCGTGCTGATGAAGCGTGAGTTGATCAGGACCGGACTGGGGGCCGGAGGTTTACCTCCGTAGAATGCGACTTTTGTGAGTAACGTCTAGAGAAAGTGAGGCCGAATGAAGTGAGTTCCAGATGCCAACGGAGAACGATGAGACAGATTGGCCGATCGCCAAAAGATTAGCGAAGGAAAAGCAACATCAAAGGTGAGAATATAGAGGGGAATCGAACAAGGTGAGCCAATTTGATTAATGTGGGTTTATTTCAGGTACCTGAACACCCACCCAAAAGCGAATTCTAGTTCATTGCCATTCATTAGACTAAATAGTTCACGTTGGAAAAGTGGACTGAATCTTCATCGGGATCTGGACCGGTGGAAAATGCTCAGCTGGAAACAACAGAGCTGACTGAATAAACTGATTTCATTCAAAAACAAACCGACGTGGCTCGATTATTTCGCACAAACCGCGGTTCGGGCCGCCTCTATTTTCGGGCGAAATAATAATTTTTCGCCCGTTACTCATCGGAAATTAAATAAATATTCGGGAAAAGCGTCGCCAACCTTGAACGTGGTGGCAAGCAAAATAAACTGAAAGTAACGTACATTACACGGTCTTATTGCTTGGATTTGGACCGAAAGCACAAAAGTGAATTTCCATTAGATTCATTCGGCCAACCAGTCGATCGAGGAGGTTGTACTGACAATAATGATTTAATGGCCCCATTAATACCACCGCCCTATTTTTAGACCCGTTTCGATTAACTGCCGTGAAAAAACAAATGTTTCCCCGAACAAAACATCAATAATTAGGTAACGACCATTTCGTACAATCGTAAAAGCCGAAATCACATAAATTCTTCGGCTCTTGTTTGGCTCTGGGCCTCGCTGTTTAAATTTATCATAAACACGCTCACGCCTGTTTTACTTTCAAACACAATCCCGCCTGTAAAAAGGCTATTGATTAGGCCCATTTTCGCCATATGAGTGCGTTTTTCCACACCCAAACAACAGCTCTCTACCAGTTAGTACGTCGATGCGTTTTCGCTTCCACTAAGCAGCAGATGATCAATAGCGAACCACCATCGATGTTCTGATTGATGATTGAATTCGTGAGTGGGGTTGAGGGGGTTGAAGATCGCTGGGTTTTTAGAACAGAAGTTGCTCTCTTTAGTGCAAAAAACTGCATCGTTTTCGCCACTTAAACGCTAAAACAAGTATTTTCTTCACAAACGCCTGATGATGGCACGGTCTCGAAACGGGCAGGCTTCACAGAATACACTTTCCGCGATCTAATGCAAATTACTACAGCTTTCTCCCTTTTTACGATTACGAGTAATTAATTGTTGAAACCAGGCCTGCATGGCTCTGTTAGCTCGTCTTTCACGCCACATTTTTCAGAAAAAATCTGAAAAACGACCAGGCTTTATAGAACAAACCTGCCTCTATACAAAAAAAAACCAAAAAACCATACATTTCTCACTCTTTTGGTTCAGGAGAAAATAATTGTTGAGGGTCCAGGCTTGCCTGATCCTATCAGATCAATGTTTAAGTCAAAAACGCGCATTTTTTGCAAAAATTCTTAATGATGGCTCGAGTTCGAAACGGGCAGGGTTTATACAACAAACCTACTTCTATCGAATGAAAAAAACCGCACCTCCGTCACTCTTTTACTTCCGAACAAAACAATTGTTGAAACCAGGCTTGTATGACCCTGTCAGCTATTTTTTTTTAAGTTTGGCGTTTTCTGGGCGCAGTTTTGCAAAAAACTCCAAAATCCCGACAAGTTGGCCAAATCCAGTGCACTTTATGGAGGTGCGAATGCAATTGGGCCGCTTTTCCCGACGTAAAGTTGTGCCGGTTGCGTCACAGTTGCATAAACTAAATGGCGCCATCTGCAATGCTCAACTAGCAATAACAAATTAAAATCTTAATAGTTTGGAACCAATGCTGGCACGGAACTGTGTCAAAACCTCCACCCACACACCAGCAGAATCTGCGGATTTCGCCTGTGTGCCATTTCGACCCAATTAACGAAAGCAATTTGCTCGCGTTTTTTAATTAAATCATCTGTCAACTATCGGAACAACCCCCGTAGGCGCGGGTGACGCCCCCTTAGGCCGATTCTTGATCAGTTGCCATGGCAGCGGCCACCGCAACGCAGTACACATCGACTATACGAGGGTAGGGCGTAAAAAAGGGGGTTGTGCATAGCCGGGAACGATCATGTCAGTGTCGTGCGGCTACTTATTAGCGACCGACATATTTATGTGGAATGTAATTTGGTTGATGCGACCGGCAACAGCATTCGGACAGTAGAAACATCGGTTTGTTGTATATTTTCGGCCACAAATAGATCGGGACCGGTCGAAAATAGAGTCATTCAAATTTCAACACACGGTACTTGGAAGACTCGTCTAATGATGATTAAAAAAATAGTCGTGTTATTTTTATGTGACATAGTTTTTCGTTCAGTGGGGATATTTGCATGATTTACCGCGACGAAATTGCATAGGTTTCTCGAATAAATCAATTACACAATGACCCCCCTCAGTGTAAACAGGCCATTAAAACGGCAGATTCACGTCCCGAAATAATGAAAAGATACAAGTTTTGCTGGCTAATTAACGTTGTTTGGCTTAACGGGTCTACGTCAAAGTCCGTCTAAAAAAAATCCCGATTCGTATTTAACGCCGACTTTATTGCCTCACTGATGAGTTCGCTTCACGCCCACCTAGTGAAACGTCGTCAAAATCCAGTCGTGTTCATTTTGCATCATCATACCCATTTTATAGGAAAATGTTTCTTGGAGCGGCTCAGTTCAGTGTGGTTTTCTTAAGAGATGTTTTTCATAATAATTCTTACGGGGAAAAAACCTTAATTTTTTTTGGCAAGTCGACGCCAAACTGGATTAGAAGATGCGAAACATTTCGGCTGATTAACAGTGAATTGATCACGCGCATGTTGGACGACCTTATCCATAAATTTCGTCCGACTATTTTCACGCAAATTTCGCCGTTTTTCCCCCCTTACATAATCGATTGGAAAGGTTTGGCGGACAGGAGAACGACTGTCACAACGGCTTCCGAACAGATCAAACACCTGAACATTGTCTGGAAAATCTAATTTCGTGTCAGACAAAGGGAGAATTGAATAGTGCTGGATGCAACCTTTAGGGCTTATTTGGTTAATAATAGACCTCGAAAGGTCTCCAGGCGGCGCGTTTAATGGGAAATTAAGCATGATATAACAGGGGCTGTCAAAGGTCCTAATCCCAACTGTAGGCCTAGACCAATAAATTTGCAAAATTGGCGAAAAAATCGTTTGCGTGGCCGGTTATTAACGGCAGTTTCTTCGATTCAGAATCGCGTGGTTACATCAAGGTTAAGATCATTGGAGATTAGATATTTTTCGAAAAAAATGTTATTTTTACTTGTACCTGTCCGGACAGATTTAAGATAGGTTAGGAGGTTGCACACGGTCCGATTTGGACATTGAAGGACCATTTTTTTCGGCTAAATTTAGCGGGAATTCTTCAATCGAACTTGCCCTGCACGTCTGTCTTTTATCCGATGTCTATTTCCGTAAGGCCTGTTGCCTATTGCCTATTTTAAACGCGAGATCTAAGTAAATAACCCACTTTCTCTGCTTTGGATCGAACTGGATTTGTTTGGAGAGCCACTCTATAAAACGCGAACAATAAGGGAAA